AAGTTTACTCAGGGCGGCCGCCGAATGCCGTGCTTTCCAGCGGGTTGATCTAAGCCTAGAAGTCAGAAACGAACCTTCCGGTGGACATGAAATGACCAGCTAGTTATGAGCGAGCAGAAGATAGCATTCCAGAGGTGGCTTGAAAGAAAAAAGCATTCCTCTCGAATGCGATGCAACGAAAACACTGGTCAAAGCGAAGACTGATGCAAAAAATGATCGGTGAGGTACTTGGGTCTAATTTCCTGACAGCAAAAAATAACTGGCAGACTATGTGTTGCCTCCGAAACCGAATGAAGGGCAGTGCATGACTCCTGAGGGACAAGTTCGAACTCCTTCTTACTAACAATGAGGACAAACGTTTGCGGTGGAAGGAGTACTTCGAGGAACTCCCTAACTCTGAGTAACCGCAGAATCATTCGCCTGAAGAGCAGCGAGCAAAGAATATTAGTGTTTAAGTGTATGAAGTCACAGAAGATGTCAGAAGCTTTAAAACTGGCAAGGCTGCTAGAACCGATGAAATACGCCCTGTCTAAAGGATCGAACGAAAATGGCATGTTCTCGCTGACACGTGTCTATCAAACTGACCTAGAGAAGTGGTTTTACTACCCAACTGTGAGTACTATCTATAAGGGCATTGTTTTATGGAGTCTTCGCATAGGTGTTAGTAAGGAGGCGGAAGAGCTGACACTGACATTCAAGAATAGCAGTGCACTTTCAGATTAGGCTTAAGCATATTTGACCAGATTATTGCATTATGCAAACCGTTGAGAAAAATTGTGGGAATTCGCTCATGTGACCTAAATGTGCTTTTTTGACTTACCAGGTCCCGCGCATTTAGTTACGAATGTGTCTGTAAGCATAGAGGATCGATAGCCACTTGGTTCAAGCCACCCAAAGACCATTAGTTGATAGCAGGGGCTGCGTCAGAATAACTAACCTTAAATCAAGACCTTCCAGCGTTAGCACTAGTCTCTGCGAAGATGCGATCTGTCCCCTGCCCTGTTTGTGTTGTACATGAATAGAACAGTCAGGAGCAGCCAAGGCGATGAATGCATCGGTGTAGAAGATGTCGAAATGAGAAGCTTGCTGTTTGCAGATAACCTTTTTTTGTTGGCATCTTCTGGATTCTGTTGGCATCGACAAAGCTCGCTGTAAAAGTCCGCAGCCGAGTTTGACAAGGCCCAAGCATGCACGTGAATGTGTCTGAAACGAAAAGCCTGGTGCTTTTTCGTTCTCCTCCCCGTGGTTCATTTCAGATTAACGGAGAGGCAGTGAAGCAGGTGGAGAGGTTCAAGTACCTCGAAATTTATTTACTAGTGATGGAGAATTTGAGGAAGAGATCGACCGGTGAATTGGGATGGCCAGCTGCGTCCCAGTGAACTACTCTGGATGAAGACTGAAGACTAAGCTCACTGTGTTCAAGTTAATCATCATTTCTATGCACACTTACAGTCATGAGTCGTTGTCCATGGCTGCAAAACTACGATCCCGGATATAAGAGACTGAAATGGGTTTTCTCAGACGAATCGCTGGGCTCTCACCTCTCGACAGGGTGCAGAGTACAGAAATCCAAAATAGCCTTGATGTACAACCGTTGCTTCTCCAGAATAGCACCTTACAGTCCAATGGCTTGGACACGTCTTGCAAATGCTTCCAAAATGGAATGGATACAGATACTACTTGTCCAACCGACTGCCCAGAGTCCCGACGAACGGCCAAGAATAGCCTGGGGCAAATGTATTGGATGACTCCGCTCCAGATTCGAGTTATCCTCTGCCACTGGCTCAGGATCAGAAACGTTGAAGACATTGTCTGAGGTGTCTGCCTCCGCGACTCGAAAGGAATAATGGTCGTCGAAACTGACTGACTGCGATACAACGCGCATTTCTTCAGATCTATCACCGGCTCTACCATTTCCAGGCTTTGTGAGAAACTTGCACCGCTCACTTCACAGTTGGGGTGAATACATTAAATAATTCTTTGCTGTGAAGAGACCAATTGGGATTTCAAACTGGGTTCTCGTTGATGGCAGAATCTGATGATGAGGCGCGAGTTTTCAACCTCTGTGACAAGAATTCTTCTCTGCTTTCTCACAGCCTTCATAGTTCTTTACCATACAGTATGGACTTTTGCTTGGAACTCGGGCCACTGCGGAATTCTATAAAATTCCATCCTGTGATAAATGTGAAAGAAGGTGGCGACGATTGGAAGGAATATGCCATTAAAAGCGCGAAAAGCGCCATTAGACTGGCAAGAATTTAAAGTCAGAGTTTCTCAGACGTGATGGTTTTTCTTTGTTGTTGTTCAGCAGCGTGAGAGAAGATATAATAAAAAAAATTGTCTTTTTGAGAAAAAAAGTTGCTTGATATCAGTGAACAATACAGCTGAACTAAAACAGCAGTATTTCTGAAGTACCAAGAGTACCCGGATGACATGGTGTTATTGAGTGTCTCCCGGCTATCCTAGTGACAGTCATTAACAGCATATGCAATACGGCTTTTGGAGAAGGTCTCTATATCAACACTAAAAAAATGAAGGTGATAAGAGCATCTGTCGCCAGAGACAGCTGGAAGATGCTAACAAATCTGTTAGCGATGATAAAGGACAACTATTTCAAGTAACTTGAAATGATCTGGGGCAACGATGACTGTTGTAGTCTTGGGGTAAACCTGATTATTCAGCGTTATTAGCAAATTTCACGAACATCCCCTAAATATGAAATGATGAGAGAACAAAAATGGTAACCCATAATCAATATCTTTATGAAAAATAACCAGTGATTCCTTCACAGCCAGGTTTAAGATTGCACTGCCCTTGTCTCTAGTTGCCTAGAGGACTGTTTAAGAGAGCACGGCTTTATGCTATTTGAGGACCTGCAGAGCCCGATGCAATTTACATCACTCTTTTCATTACAACTATCTCAAATCCATCAAAAACGATGTTTTAACAATTGATACTCCACGTATGCTACTGCGTAAACACAATGAGGTCTAAGCGTCTTGAGCCATGGAACCGCAGCTTGGTTAAATGGCCAATGAAGGCATCT